TAATCTATTTTTTAAATAGTAGCAAATAATTGTCAGATTTCTGCTGATTTCTATAACATTTCTTCTTGTTTTTTGCTAGGGAGCAGTAATTTTTTTTTTCCTAATAAAATAATATACTTGTACATTTTTATAATAAACCGGCTAACTAATTTTTACCCATAGCAGACTGACATGTTGCGATTACAATATATGGGGCATTCCACGCCAAATCGACCACTTTTGACCCTGACCCCTTTTGATTTGGCTGAAAGTTTACCATCCTTTTCTACCCTATCAAAAACGTCTCATAATTTTTTCAAATTTTTTTACTCAACCAAAAAAAAGTTACGATTTTTTCAAAAAAACTGCTTTTTTATTTTTAAATTGCCATAACTTTTTCAAAAATTGACTTATCGGAACGTTTTTTTTTTTCAAAATTTTTGTTATTAAATGTTCTTTTTGGAAAAAAATATAAGAAAATTATTCAAAGCTATCTTCATCGTTATTTTTAAAATTTTCAGAAAAAACTCCGAATTTTTTGATGAATACCATTTTTAGTTTCTTTTTTCTTTTTCTCATTCGAAAGGTTCAGAAAGGTTCAAAAAGGTGTTTTTTCGATTTCTATTTTTTCTTTTCAATTAAAAAAAAAATTTTTTTTTTTGTCTATTTTTCATAACACCAGTCCAAAAATTTACGGGAATCCTCAAAAAACATGAAAAAAGTATAAAACCAAAAGTTGATCATGTTTAACATCGAGAACATAAATTTTTTTTAAATCAAAGAAAAAATTGAAAAACAATTGTTTTTTTTATTTATTGCTTAATGAATGGTGGGCGTTGAAATGAACAATTCTCCGATAAGTTTTATGGTTAAAACGGTTTTGTCAAATGGTTTAATACATGACTATAATGTCTGAAATGCTATAATTCTTAAACTAATAAAAACATTTTCCTTAGCTAAGCAAGAAAATGTTCTTTAACAATATTATTTCTAATGATGGCACTTAATTAATTTTTTTTTATGAGGAGGATTCATTGGTAGCGCAAACTATCATTTCTCGACGACTTCTAGAGTAATTTGAAAATAGACTTGGGCCTTCACAAGGATTAAAAATTTAAAAAGCAATTTTGAGAAGCTAATCTGGTTAACTTTTAGTTCTATATTTTTTGTTGTTTTTCAATTTCTTTTGTTTAAAAAAAATTGATTTTCTCGATGATTAACATATTAAAATGATGGTTCTATACTTTTTACTTTTTTTTTGAGAATTCCCGGAAATTTTTGGACCGGTGTTATGAAAAATACGACAAAAAAAAAAAANNAAAAAAATTTTTTTTTTTTTAATTGAAAAGAAAAAATAGAAATCGGAAAAACATCTTTCTGGAAATTTCATGATATCTGTAAAAAATGTCAAAGTTTGGAATGAGAAAAAGAAAAAAGAAACTACAAATGGTATTCATCAAAAAATTCAGAGTTTTATCTGAATTTTAAAAATAACGATGAAGATAGCTTTGAATAATTTTTTTATATTTTTTTCCAAAAAGAACATTTAATAACAAAAATTTTGAAAAAAAAACGTCCCGATAAGTCAATTTTTGAAAAGGTTATGGCAATTTAGAAATAAAAAAGCGGTTTTTTTGAAAAATTCGTAACTTTTTTTTGGTTGGGTAAAAAAATTTGAAAAAATTATGAGAGTCGTTTTTGATAGGATAGAAAAGGATGGTAAACTTTCAGCCAAATCAAAAGGGGTCAGGGTCAAAAGTGGTCGATTTGGCGTGGAATGCCCATATATAAAAGACACACTCTAATCTAGACATATTTTTGGTAAATAACCATTAGATGACGAGAGCCAAGAACGTAGGGAATTCATTTTAGACCAAATTCGGAAGTCACTAATTTTACAATTATTAATATTTATACTAATCTTATTTTAAATACAACGTTCCTTTTAATTGTTAAGATTTTCCTTTGTCTGAAATTTGATTTGAAATAATGTTAATTTATTCTCTTTACTAGGTACAAGCATCAATTATTTTTCTCATATTAGTGATGTTTATATTTACGTTTAGTTAATTTTACAAACGGAAACATTTAGGATTTTTCTAATTTAGGGCCAGTTTTTCAATCCAAGATAAAATTTTATCCTAGATTGAAAAACTGGCCCTTAGAGTTTAAAAACCGCCAAATTCACAAATGAAGATTCATCCCTAAACTTGAAAATCTAATTACAGTCGCGTGCATTAATTCGGGGAGGTTTCTATGTTCAGAGTTTATTGGCCACTTCTGAATTTGGCCGTTTCCAAACTCTAAATTTCGAAAATCGTAAATTATGATATTTGTAAAATTATCTAAATTAAAAAAATACCGCCCATAAAATATACGAATTTAAAATAATGCAAAGACTAAATTCAACTCTAATCATAGAATATTACAAATAAAAAAAAATCAACGGTAAAAAGATAAATTTTAAACTAAAGTCGCCTAGAAAATGAGTAATTTAAGAAGTTGACACAAACAAAACAACACAAGTCTTAAAACAGCTTAATTAAAAAAAGAGAATTCTGAAAATTTATTCCAATTAAAATACAAACAATTGAAAAATAGTAGGACTAAAATAAATGAACTTTAAAACTGGTAAAATCATAAATTTAGCCAATTTATAACTTAGCCTTTTCTATACCTTGCGAATTATGAAAATTGCAGTTTGTAAACCTGAGAATTTATAAAATTAATCGTTTCTGAACCCGGTAATTTACAAAATTCGCTATTTCTAAGCTTTATACTTATTAAAAATTCCCCGATTTTTTTTTACCGCAAAAATAGATTACTATAGACTTTTGAAAGCAATTGAAAATTTGATAAATAATAATTATGATCATTTTTATTTAAAAATGATTTTTATGTTATTATCAAGCTATTGTGACCTGTAATTTGTTATTTTAATTATCTTATATTAATATAAAAATTTCAACCGTATAAAATTGATAATATTAAATATATGGGTCTATTCCATATAAAATCACCGGATTTGAATAATCACATTTTTTTATTTAGTTGAATTTTGACATCTTTTAGTAAGTGTCAAAAGACGATTACCTTTAAGTTTTTAGCCCTTAATTTCCTAAAGTTTAAGACAAGCGATAATTAAAATAGTATAGGTTCTTTATTTGTAACACAAATTCTTGTTTTACAATACGCTATTGTTATAGTTTTATTTCTTATATAATTTTATTTCTTAGTTCAAGACTGTTTATACTTAATTCAAGTAAACGATCTTCAAAATAAGTTCCTTTGTTGAAAATTTATTTTTGAATCAATTCAATTTTTCTGTTAATATATTCGAGTTTTAATACAAATCTTATATATTTGATTTTTTTATACATGAACATCTCTTCATTCGTTCAATTATACAGATATATCACAAAGCTATGGCCACATAAATCAATATTTATAATTATTATTTTTCCATCTTTCAATATTTCATATTAAAGTTCGTACAATTTGCTATATATTATAGAACAATATCATTTTGAAAAATTTTTGAAATCATTGTAAAATAAAGTTTGGAAAATCCAAAAGTGCACGCCTCATAATCTCATTTTTTAAAATAAAGTTGATTAAAATAAAATATAGAAAGCAAAATAATAAAAAACAGAAAACACTGTTATGGTTTAGTGGCGCCATAACTCCAAGGTGAGGAGAAAAAATACTATAATAAAATGTATAGATAGAAATACAAAAAAATCCACAGTCATACATTAGTTTTTTATAAATAATAATTTAACGACAGTGAATTGAACGCTCATATTAACTAAGAAATTCTGTCGTGTGTTACTTTAGATAATTAAAAAAAAATTATTCCGGTATGATCATTTTTTAGACCAATTTCTCTGCCACATACACCCATTCATACACGGACGTCCAAAAAAGATTATGTTTAATGTTATTATTTATTATGTTAAACAAAAAAATTGTTATTAAAATATATATTATGTGCCTGAAAAATTATTTGACTTGACATAAGTGTACTCATTTTAACCTGTAAGTGCAATATAAATAACAAAAAATCAATTTCAGTTTCGACAAAACTGCTTTTTTCGAAATGTCGAGAGTAGAGCACAACCTCAACGCTTCGCTTATGAGGCGTGCAATATATTTATGTCAAAATGAATCTTTCCAATATTCAAAACGTGTTTCCGCATTACAATCTGAATTTAGTGATATAGCATATTTATGCTATAACTTTATACTCATTTTATTATTAATAATAATTACTATAATTATTTTTTCACATAAATTCAAAGAAGTGATTTTTTATTCTCATGAAGAACTATACTTAGTTAAATAAAAATATTAATGGTTGTTAAGCGGCAGAGATAGTAACGCGGCACGCGTCTGATTCTGGTGATCACCCAAGCTAAGCAGCATTTACTGTGGTCAATACTTGGATGGGTGACCGCCTAGTCAGCGTTGGCTAGCGCGTAGATTTCTGTGCACTAGGAGAGGGGACTAACGTTTCGATAATCGATAAAGAAGATTCTTATCGATTACCATGAGCTTAACCCTGCTTCGACTGCACTGGTATGGGTTTTCTCTGTGGTTTCCCCGTGCCACTATCCTAAGGGCCTAGGAAGAGGTGAAGAAACAGAGTTAACTCTTCAGTACCCACGTTCTTTTTAGTGTCTCACTTGCACTTCAGCGACATCCTATTAGTTGAATATTGTTGCGTGAGTAAAATTCTCATAACCTGAGTACTGAAGGGTTAATGCGGTACAGAAAGCACAAGCCAGTCCATAGCCGCAACAAAAAGACAGTAACTAAGCAAAAAGAGTAGGCTTAGAGTGTAAAAGGGCTTGAATTGCCTGCACATTATGAACCCATGATACTACTATATTAATGATTGTTATGGTTATCGCTCATTATTTATCAATTTATGGTTTTTATTGTCAAAGTTTACAACTGACCCTGATTAAGAAATCTGATTTGAAATTATTAAAAACAATTTAAAAGGATTTTTTTATACTTATTAGGTTGTTGTTGGTGTTGTTCAGCTTTACGACCAAGGTACAAAAGACTTGTTGATAACATTTTTCCAATAAATCCGCAGGTAACCAGCAAGCTAATTCATACAACTTGTCCTTAAGCTTAATTAAAAATTATTTTTCGTTGTTTTTTCAATATTTTTTTTTTGTTAGGATGGACTTGTCAAAAATAATATGGAGAAATTAACATTCTACTCATTGAGTAGCCCAGAAAAATTGGATAGAATCGGAGAGTATTTATTTCAACGAGCTTCAAGAGATATTTATAGACGACGAAATGGATTCGTTGTTATTGCTATGGAAGCAATGGATCAGCTTCTACTTGCTTGTCATGCACAAACTTTGAATCTTTTTGTTGAAAGCTTTTTGAAAATGATTCAAAAACTTTTAGAATCCACAGATCCTCAACTACAAATTTTGGCTACACAATCGGTAAATTTTTGTTTTTTCTTTTCATTTGATACTTATTGATGTCAATATATTAGTAGTTCCTCACTTGAAATTATTATTCAACGTTATGTTATTCAAGAGTTAACTGATCATGTAAAAACCTAAACTATTAAATTATTCAATTTAGTTGAACAAAATGCTTTCCTCCGCCAGTTTGTCCGCTTTGCCAACATCGAGGAGGACACGCCATCTTATCACACACGTTACGATTTCTTTGTATCAAAGTACTCTGCCATGTGTCACGCCAACAACGACAATCTGGAAACTCGTAAACAGATTCGACTTGCCGGTATTCAAGGGTTGCAAGGTGTCGTGAGGAAAACCCTTTCTGATGATTTAGTAGAAAATATATGGGAATCAGTGCACATGGATAAAATTGTTCCATCACTCTTATATAATATGCAAACTGCAAGGTAAATTAATTTTTCTATTAATTTTATATTTAAAAAACATCTGATCCAACAAACAATAATCAGATTAATACGGTCATTGTAGAATCTAAACAACTACACAGAAAAAGCGAAGATCTTAACGCGAGAAATTTTGTTTGGCTCTAAAAATTTTTCTCCAGTTCCCGATTCTTCGTGCAAGAAATTTTATATTAATCTAAGAGTAATTTTTTTTTTTTTTTTAACCAAAAAACAGCAATTTTCTGCCAAGAGCACATAATTAAAAGAAAAACTTTCTTTTAAGGCTGTACAATTTAGCCGATTATGCCGGCTAGAAAAGTTGGCTAAGTTAATTAGCTGACTAACGGATCAGCTTAGCTAATTTAACCTGTTAACTAAATTAGCTAACGGCTAACCGGCTAATTTTCTTTGTAGCTATTTTATGGCTTCATATTCACGGGCAAGTTCAATAAATAATATTAATGTTTATTGTAAAAATAATGCCATTCGGCCTCACCCAAAACGGAAGGTAGATTTCATTTGATATAACATTCTCTTTATTTTCGCTATTTTAATTTGTTGACAACCAAATTTTTAAATTAATTACAATAAAGAAGTTCTGCAAAAGTTTTCTTGGTGTATTTACTATTTGGATAATTATCTTGGACTAGTTCGAAAATGAGTAAAATCTGTCTAAAAAGTCAATGTTATGTACATCGAATCAAAGGCAATTTGATGAGCTTCCACATGAATTTTTCGAAAATTAGCTATCTTTCTTTAATTGAAAGTTATTCATCAATGAAGCCACAAAAAACATGATTTTCATTATTTTGATAATTTTGAATAGCTACCTAGGATTCTTAGGACTCATGCGAGCTGATTGTCCAAGGAATCCGTGTACCAAATTTCATTAGGATCCGTTGAGAATTCTTGATAGAATAACATTCATAAGTCGGTTGTACTACACATTGCCTGAAAATGATTCAATAGATCTCTTAACTTTCATAAAATAACTAAAAATTGACAAAAAATCAATGTTATACACGTCAAATCAATAGTATATTACATACCAAGGTAAGTAAAATAAGAAGTCTCAGATCACATGTAATTGTTGGCCGAGGCGAAGCCGAGGTTGACAAATATTTGGTCTGAGGCTTTACTTTTTACTGGCCAAGGTGTGTATACTATTTTTCTGCTCGACGTAGCCGGAATGTGGCAACTTTATTTAGCGTAGCAGCCAGAAAGTTGCCACTTTCCGGCCGGAGGGCAGAAAAGGCAATTTCATGAGCTATCACATGAATCAAAAATTAGCTATCTCTTTTCAATCAAAAGTTATATATCAATGAAATGACTGAAAACGTGATTTTCACTATTTTGAAATTCTTGTTATTCTTGCGATTTAAAAAATTTTTTTGGAAAATAAACAGAATTGATATTTTCAAATTTGTTCTTTTTAAATTGCTTGTTTTTAATTAAACGTAAAAAAAAGAAAATAAAATGCTAGAAATTACTCGATTTATGTAAAAATTTTTGTGAACATCAAATGCTATAAATCCAATAGAAAAATTTATTGCTGATTACTTTAATTTTATTTATTTATTTATATATTTCGATAGAATAAACGCCGATCGGCTATATACATAAAAAGTTTTTATTACAAAATTAAATGATTAAATAGCATCATTTTTATGCATGTACTTGAATATAAAGAATTATTGCACAGACTAATAAAGTAGTAACAAGTTTTTTACATTAGATGTAAAAGATTAAAAAAAATTTAATTAATTAAAAAAAAAAAAAAAAAAATCACATTTCAAATATCGTATTGTTTTTCGATATTTTTTTGCCAAAAAAATGTTAAATCCCACTTCTGAATCATTATTTAATGGAAAGCTGCTTCATATTAGTTTAATAAAACTAAATATTTTGATTTAAAAAATTATCACTCAGTTAATTTTTTTCTATAAATTATAAGGTATGTGGAGAAAGAAAATTCAACACCAGATAGTCCCACAGAAGAGAGGTCAAATCCTCCCCAGTTTGCTGAAACATGTATGCGGGAACTTGTCGGTCGTGCATCTTTTGGTCATATCCGTTGTGTCATTCGACCTGTATTGAGACACTTGGATAACCATCAGTTATGGGTTCCTAATTATTTTGCAATCCACACATTCCGAATAATTATGTTTTCTATTCAAGTATGTTTTGATTCATCCGTAATAACTTAGTTTTATTATTTGCACTAATATTTTTTTTTATTTTCTAGTCACAATATTCCTATACAGTCGTTGAAGCTTTAATGACTCATCTCGATGATAATTCAAAATCTTCACCGAAGATTCGAACAAGTATTGCAGATACATTGTCAAAAATTATTGCCATCGCTGCAGGAGAAAGTGTGGGGCCATCTGTACTAGAGATAATAAATTCTCTTCTTTCTCATTTGCGTATAAGTGTAACAAGAAATCAGTATTCTAGTAATGATGAGCAGCTTTATCAAGAAGCTCTCATTAACGCTCTTGGAGAATTCGCAAACCATCTTCCAGATTATCAAAAAATTGAAATAATGATGTTTATAATGAGTAAAGTTCCATGTAGTCAACCAGATCGTTTTATTACTGTTGGAAAAGGAGACGTCTTATTACAAAGTATACTATTAAAATCTTTGTTAAAGGTAATGTTTAAAAAAAAATTATTAAAATTATAGCCCGTTTTATATTCCTTCCAAGAAAATAATAGTTATTTACTTCATTAATTTAATGTACAATTCTCTTATGCTCACTTTCAAATTTAAAACTATTTTCTAACTGGGGCAATTTTGTCTAATAAAAAATTTGCTTTTAGGTTGGCACAAAATATCAAACAATTCATTTGAACACAACATTCCCGCCAAGTTTTTTGGAGCCTTTATTAAGAATGTCTCTCGTAGCTGATGCTGAGATGAGACTTTTAGTTCAAAAAATTTTCCATACATTAATTGACAGACATCACAATATTAATAAGCTTACAAAACCGACGCTTAATATATTAGAACTTGATCTTGTGGTTAACAAATCATCTCGTCCAGATGTAATATTTATCCGTAAACATGGTCCAGAAATATATTTGGCACTTTATGAATCGATTGAACTTTCGAGTAATACCGTTGAAAATATAGAAGCGATATATACCACATTGGCTCTTCTTATTGTAGAATTGGCTTCTGAAGAAACGGTTCTAGAACAACTAAGACTTATTTTGAGCCTTCAAGATCTTGCTATTGTTAATAGTCAACTTAGTACAACGTTAAAGTTAAATTTACATGCAATTGTTGTAAGCTTATTGATTCTTATCTCTCACGTCTGTAGTTTGACTTATCTTATTGATTATGTTGAAAAGGTATGATTTAAAACAAATTTATATTAAGTTTTTTATAATGTAAACATTCACGGAAAATAAATTAGAGTGAGAGCAACAACAAGTACAATTCGCATACTTTATACCATTTTTTGATAAATTGAACCGCGCTTGTTATTGCTTTCACTAAAATTTATTTTCTGTTTTATTAATTCACTATTAAATAACATTTTATACCATTCAAATAGATTATTACTGCTCGTGAAAAAGAAGGAATTCATCTGTTGCCACCACTAAAATCTGACTATGATGATGATTTGCCCACCAAATTTTCTAGTTCTATGCTAGTTGATCAAAGCATAGTGACCGAGTGCCTAAAAATGGCCGGTTTTGATGCTGGAAAATTACAACAAGGTTCTAAATACAATAGTAATTCTTTACAACATCGTCATTCTTGGGTTGATACTGCTGGACGTACTTCTATTACGGATATCAATTCTGGAAGTGTAGAACTAGATAGCGGAGGTTCATCTCCAGGAACACAAAAAGTAAGTTCTAGATTTTGATTATTTTAAAAATGTAATAACGTTTTAAATTCATATTTTTTTTTCTTCAGAAAATGATGGTCGAAGAGTTAACATTTGAAAGTATGAAGAAAATATTAACTGAATCTAGTAACATCCAGAATGAGGATGAAGAGAAAAGAATACAATTATCAGAATACTTTAGAAATGCCTCATTTCAAGATCTCATTCTTAAAACTCAACCACAGGTATTAACATAAAAATTTAGTCATGTTATTTTTATTATTGATTTTCAAGTTAATTATTCTTTTTACAGCACGATGTATTGCAGAGTAAATTATCTGATATATTTAATTCACTTACGGTGGAGCCAAGAAATTTATCTCAACAAAATATTCAAGCAATTGACCCTAAGTCAACTCCAACACCAGCATATGAAATTCATTTTCCAGAGTTATTTGTTTATTAAAATTTTATATTTTACAATTTATTAATTTATTATATTATATTTTTGATCAGATTAATCGAAGTTTAGACGTAGATAAGTAATGTGTTAATGAACATATATGTAACTTTAAAAAAATTTAAGACTTTTGAAGACCGAATCGTTTCTGACAACGTTCCTTTAATAAATTATTTTTCACTTGATAATGTTAAAAAAATAAATACAAACCTGATGATCTAAAATTAAAATATTCATAAAAGTAAACGTTACGAAGAATTACTTAGTAGAACAATCTTAAAATTTGATTTTGTATAAATTCACATATTATTGCTTATTTTAATCATTTTATAGATGTATAATGCACATTTGAAGTCGTAAAAATAAAATAGTCAATATAAAATAAAAAATTCTAAAAGTTGATATCAAATGCTGTTGTTGAATAATTTTTTTCTAAAAACGAATTTCATACAATTGCTCATTTCAATACAATTTAATTTTTTAAAAAGAAAATTAAATTGAACTGTTTATGACACGAGTATTAAACTTTTAAGAACTGATTTCAAAACAATATCACTAATATCTCAAAATAAAAATTTTCTTAGTAGGAATTAATAAAAAACAGTGAAAATAGATATTAAATGTATTTTATTTTAGTTATGAAAAGAAAAGAATTTAAGATATTACCATGTGACTTTAACATTCGCATATAAAATGAATGGATGTATATTAAATATTGTAGTTAAAATTACATATAAAAATGAATTTTAATGAAAAGTTGGTTGTTAAATTCAGAATAACATCCGTATAACTTTTTTTTTTAAATATTCACAATTTTATCCGCTGCAACTCGTACAATCAGCTCCTCGAGAACAAGAAATTACGTTCGTTTCATCAATATTATTTTTAATAACACCGTTTGTATATTTTTTCTCCTCCCAAGTGGATAATTTTCGTTTGTCAACAGTAAATTGAATAGCATTAGCAGCTGGTTTAGTTCTCAAGTAATACATTCCGGTTTTCAAACCAATACTCCATCCGTAAAAGTGCATTGAAGTTAATACGCCAACAGACGGCTGAGCAATGTGAACATTAAGTGATTGTGATTGATCAATGAATGGTCCTCGATCTGCCGCCATTTTTAAGATAGTCTTCTGTGATATTTCCCAAACAGTTTTATATAAAGGTTTTAGTTCATCTGGAAAACTTTTGATATTTTGTACCGAACCATTATTGGCGATAATTTCATTTTTCATCTTTTCATCCCAAAGATCACGTTCACTTAAATCTTTCAACAAATGAGGATTAACAATCTGAAATTCACCAGATAATACCCTTCGGGCATAAACATTGGTGGTATACGGCTCTGTAGATTCATTATTTCCTAAAATTTGTGCTGTTGAAGCTGTTGGCATCGGAGCTATAAGAAGTGAATTTCTGATACCAAATTCAGCAATTTTTTTTTTCAATTTCTCCCAATCCCAAAGATCAGTTGGTGTAACATTCCACATGTCGTATTGAAGGATACCTTTGCTTACAGGCGAACCATGATAAGTTTCATAAATTCCTTTCTCCTGAGCCAACTCACAACTTGCTTCTAAAGCACCATAGTATAGCGTTTCAAAAATTTGAATGTTGAGTTTCTGAGCTTCTTCGCTTTCAAATGGATACCTCAATAACAAAAAAGCATCAGCAAGACCTTGAACACCAATGCCCATAGGTCGATGTTTCAAATTTGATTTTTCTGCTTCGGGAACTGGGTAATAATTAACATCAATAACTTTATCTAAGTTTTTTGTTACAATTTTGGTAACTAATTTAAGTTTTTCAAAGTCATAAGTTTTAGTTTCAGTATTAACAAACATGTTAACTGCAATTGAAGCCAAATTACAAACTGCTATTTCATCAGGACTTGTATACTGGACTATTTCAGTACAGAGATTACTACTTTTGATGGTGCCCAAATTTCGTTGATTGGATTTACGATTGCAGTGGTCTTTATAAACCATATATGGTGTACCAGTTTCAACTTGTGATTTCAAAATAGCAGTCCACAACTCTCGAGCTGGAATTTGACGTACATAACGACCTTCATTCTCATATTTAGTATATAATGCTTCAAATTCTTCACCCCAGCATTCGTCTAGCCCAGGTGATAAATTCGGACACATTAAACTCCATACATCATCATCTTTTGTGCGGCTCATAAATAAATCCGGAATCCATAGTGCATAGAATAAATCACGAGCGCGATGTTCATCTTTGCCTGTATTTTTTCTCAGATCTAGAAATTCAAATATATCTGCATGCCAAGGTTCTAAGTAGATTGCAAATGCTCCAGGTCTTTTATTACCACCTTGATCGACATATCTTGCTGTATTATTGAAAACTCGAAGAATCGGAATAAGACCATTTGAAATTCCATTGTTACTTTTTATTCTAGTTCCTGCAGCTCTGATATTATGAGCACTCAACCCAATTCCACCAGCTGTTTTACTGATTAAAGCACATCTCTTCATCGTATCATAAATTCCTTGAATACTGTCTTCAATCATTGTGAGCAAAAAACAACTCGACATTTGTTGTCTTTGAGTACATGCAGAAAAAAGTGTCGGTGATGCATGAGTGAAATATTTTTCAGACATATAATTGTATGTTTCAATCACTCGATCGATGTTGTCTTCATGAATACCAACAGCGACGCGCATCACCATGTGTTGAGGTCTTTCTACGATCTTGCCATTTATTTTCAGCAAATAACTTCTTTCCAAAGTTTTGAAGCCAAAATAATTATAATTGTAATCTCTATCATAAATAATGGCAGAATCTAAAGCTCGAGAGTGCTTCTGAATTATATCATGATGATGTTGACTGATCAAAGATATTTTTTCATTTGTTACAGGATTTACTGCATTGTATAAATCATTAATTACTTCACTGAAATTCTTTTTAGTTTCTTTGTGTAGATTAGAAACAGCTATTCTTGCAGCTAAAATAGCATAATCAGCATGTTGAGTAGTCATGGTTGCTGCTGTTTCTGCTGCTAAATTATCAAGCTCTACAGTTGTTACGCCAGGATATATACCATGCATGACTTTGTATGTTATTGCCGGTGGATCAATGTAATCCATATCCAAGCCGTAACAAAGCTTTTTCACACGTGCCGAAATTTTATCATAGTGAACTTTTTCTTCACGTCCATCTGAAATAGATAGTAATTATAAATATTTATGCGTAAAATTAATTAAATAAACTAAAATTGCATGATTGAGTTTTAAGAGTGTTCACATAGACACTATATATAAAATTATAATTCAATAACATTTACCTCTTTTGATAACATGGAGCTTGCCAGTGCCTTTAAGAGTCATTTTTTTTATCAATTACAAAATTTTCATATAAAAAAATATTTAATTTTAGTAAAGACTTCACTTAAGTATTCACGTATGACAAGATTGAGAGAGTCAGCACAAAACACACTTATTTGGCGGGAACCGGAAAGAACTTTGTTTCAACTTACACACTGGTGGCTCTATGCGACGCGCCAATAACAGAGACGTGCTGATAATAGACGCCAGCTGGTACAAAAAATTGGTATGTACGGTGTTAGTTATTAATTTTCAAGGTTATGGGGTGTGTTTCACAATATGCACTGTGACCACGATAAAATATTTTAAGGTTCCTTCATAACAAATCACTGATATACCTACATACTGGTTACCGTTTATAATGGATCGCCGTTCAGAATAACTAACTGAATACTAGTGTGCCGCTGTTTTCAAGTGAGAATACATTTTCTTGAAAATTCCTCCCATGAAGAATAAACACAGCTATAGTCAATCACTACCCGAGTTTTAATATGTTCTGATAAAACTAAGTTATTAAATAAATGATTTTTTATTAATTTAAATCATCTCTCTCCTGATAAAACAGTCATATTTATGGGCGGGCAGTAACAAATGTATTTTTAGAAAATTTATTTTTCCAATTACGTCTTAAATAAATTTCGGAATCAAATAAAATAAAGTTTCCATAAAAAATATATGAATAATTATTGCGGAGGCTTTACTCTATAGTCCATCTAGATATTTCTACAAAAGGCAATGACAAAAATAAAATCTCTGGAAATATATTCACTATTGCCCACTCTTAAACAATAACGTAAGTAAACAACAATATTTAAATTGATCCCGCGTAAAAATAACTAATATTTTTTTCAGTAGGTAACAGCACCATCAATCTAGAGACTATGTAGGAGCCACACAGTTTCTTTCAGTATATCATTATTAGTTACCAACTGCATGAATACTATGAAAATATACAGTTTGAGAATTGTAAAAAAATTGATTCTGTGTCACATCAACCCGTTGACAGACTGAAAGCTTATTATTATTAAAAGAAATTTTCAACCTAATCAACTAGCTTGTTTTTATATAAAAACCTGTAAATCAATAATTATATCAGCACAGATGATTGACATTTTAAAAGTATATTTCACAATGCTATCGTTTTGATTGCTGTTTATTTTGGTCAAAAATGCCTGATTGTACATATTCTTTTAAATCTATAGTAAATTTAGGTTAATATTATTAACTTACATGTTATATATTTTGATAAACCTAAATCTATCCAATTATTCCTTTATATATGTATATATGCACAAACATATGTACGTACATGTGTGTATGTGTGCACGCGTATGTTGTACATGTGTATAATTCTATTCTTTAAAGTGGCACATGGAGTATGTACATTGCATATACTTGAGTGGAGTTTGTATTTAATATTATCAACGAAATTTTTAGATACTTAGACTGAACAGGTGGAAACAGTACAAAAAAATAAAAGAATTATTTCAGTTAACAATAACAAATTAAAATTATTGTTCAATGTTATAAACAAGCAAGACAATAAATTGCATCATAAGTAAATACACGATGTGACAAAAGAAAACATTATTGTTTTTTGAGAAATTATTGTTACAAGCTTACCGAAGTTATTATAATGGAGAGGAATATTCTAAATAAGAAATCTGCAACTGAACGGGGTAATTATTCTTAAGCAATCAATGTTTATCTAATAATTTTTTATTAACTGAGATATTTTTTTTTTTTCAGAATTGTATTTCCTGATAGCGAAATTCCTCGAAAATAGTCCTTGTACAGAAACTGCTAAAGTAAGTATTTTACGGACATATCGTTGAGATTAAATTTTTCTGTTTCATATATAACACTTGTTTTGTTTTTTACGTTACAGATTTTTAAGAGTGAATTAGAGGCGCTTAAGGTAAGATAATTTTATCTTGAGTATTTTTTAAGAGTTTGTTGTTTTTATACTTGAGTCAAATCTATTATTTTATATCAAACGCTTTATTTTTCATCACCGTCTAAACTGTCACCTTTAGAATTTATTATGGAGTTATCATAATGCTATATTACAACGACAGGGTTGATCAGTTCGTCGAATAATTAATAAATAGTAATCAAGTATTTGTTTGTTTATTTGTAACAGTGATGTTAAGTTTTCTTAAATACTTGAGTTAATTTTTCTTTGCTGTTATTATTAAAAAAACGTATGTAAAGCTGGCATTGGTATCAGTATTTCGAACATTATTCAAGCATCAAGATTTATTTGTAATCGTTTATTTGAAAGAAAGATTTTTTAAAAGACTAACCCTATGTAAAATTTATACTTATATACTATCCACATCAAAACTTTTTTAATTTTTTCAAATCGTTTTTATTCATATTAAATGCTTTTTTCTACTCAGAGATGCTTTTTTGTTGCTAATTAGTTGTTTTAATCAGGATTTTATTGCTTAATTATTTTCCGAAAAACTGATGATAATTGTAGATTATGAGAAGACTTGCTATATAGACGTAATGTGAAGTAGCAGTAAAAATAATTTTATTTTTACGTTTTTTTTTTGCTGCTTCAGTTTCTTGGAATAATATTAAAAAGAATTTGCTGGGCTATGAATAAAAATAAATCATCTTTAATCTTTCCAAAAAAAAAACTGAGATGTTTACTTATCAGTATGATGGTAAATAAACTTAAATTTCTCGGTTTTATTGAAAGTCAAAAAAAAGAAAACTGATTGTATCAAAGGTCCATATTATCAAATAATAAAAAATAATGATTAAGTTTAATTACCTGTTACAATCGAGTTACTAATATTACGAATATCTTTTATTAAATCACTAGTTGTTTCCCGTCTGCTTCACCGAGTATATTATGAAATGACATTTTTAAATTTTAACTTAAGATATAAGTGGAATATTTTCTTGACTGATTTCCACGGATTCGAAATTCGATAAAATTCGCATTTACTTTTCAATCATGTAATTATTGTAGCTAATATCTTTTATAACTTTCAATGCGTAAGTGTTATGATATTTCAGTAAGCTTTCTAAAAAAGAAAAAATGAGTAATAATTTGAAAAAAAAAAATCTAAATCGAGTAAAGGTCTTATAATTGTAGTTATATATATATATATATATATATATATATATATATAGATATAGATTATCTTAAAATCATAATACTTGTACCCTTAGGGCATTTTGGGAAAATTTTTAATTTTTATCGAAGAAATTTTTGCGAGGTACACATATAAATTTTATTCGTCTTTTTATCTCTAATACTATTAAAGCTGATATCATCTAGTACTTTTTAATTTATCAATTAAGTACTACATTAAAATTGTTTATTTTATTTAATGATTTTTCTTTTCTTTAACGGTTTTGTAGGTTTTACCACAGCGACTTGATTGGAAAGGCATTCCACATGATCAAAATTTTGAAGAATGGGTAAGAATATTTGTAATGATTTAACAAAAATTTTTTTATTGAAATGTTCCTCATAATTTACAATATTTTATTTTATTTATTTCGATAAAAAAAAGTATATATATCCATCATCATTGAAATAGTTAGATATTCAATAAATCTCTCATTCTCGAAAATCGGAATAAGAGTAATTGTTAAGATATGACTAGACTTTTTATTTTTATTTTGTTAAAAGAAAAAAAAGGAAAAAACGATTGACCCTGCAAGTTATACCTGGAACTTCCCGCTGTATTCGAGTTTAAAGTAGTCAAACGAAAGAGATGTCAAGACACAGAAAATGATGCTTCAAAAACATCGTAGTGTTTCTTCAAATTTGTACTTTGAATTAATGTCAGACAAATAAGATGCATTGATTTCGAAGTTTTCCGGATCTTTAATCCTTCTGTCGTCTGCTATTAATTTGGAGTCTCAATTTTAACCCTAGACTGGTCACCTTATGAGCGTGACGCCGCGCTCAATTATATTTTTTTTATTACATCTTCAATATTTACTAAAATTATTCGAAAAAATTTGACTCAGTTCCTTGAACATTTTAGAATATATTAATATATAACCGATTTTACTTGTATACCTATTGGTTTTTACAAGACTGTAACCCATATTTTTTCACTTTGTTAATTACCACCATAATTCCACTTAAGTGTTTGCGTTCAACGTGTAACATTTGGAGGGAGGGTTCCACTTTTTTTGTGTTATTCCACATATTCTTTCCACTTATAATCAATCACCCTGTGCTGCGACCGTGGCCAGCTTACGCGTTATAATCAGTACCTGCATTTGCATTACGGCCTTAAATAATATGGAGGTACTTTTTCATAATGACACTTTACCTCCATAACTCTATGGGGAAACCACAGAAAATCCGGCCGGTACAGAGGCTGGCAACGTAACGCACATATTCTTTTATTTATAATCATTGAAAAATATTGGTGCGTGCCGGGATCGAACCCTGGTCCCACTTATTCGAAATGTGGGTACCGAGCCGACTAGGCTATTGCCAGCCTTTTTTAGAATATATTGATAATTTTTTCAAACATCTTCGAAAACGTTAAATTGCTGAAAAAAAATTTCTTAAAAAAATTTGCGGGGCTTTCCTCATCGCTTGACCAGAGTCGTAAGTAGTTTTTTGTCCGTGGTGTTGCCGAAAACACCTCTAGTCTCTGCCTGTCAAACGTGTATGAACTGGCAACACTGTAAGCTCTAAAAGCATTGCGGCAAATCCCTCATCACTTGACCAAAGTCGTTAGGGGCCATCCATAAATTACGTCACACGAATTTCAGAACTTTTTAACCCCTCCTTGTCACAGGTTGTCACATTTTCCAAACCCCCTCCCCCTTGATGTGACATCACACACTTTTCAATTTTATGCATACATTTAAAAATAATTAAAAAGAAACAGTTATTTTCATTTTTTAGAAAAGCGAGCGAGCAGTCGCCGACGATTTAAACCTACTCAGACCCTTATTATTCAGAACTCTTGAGAATTTTAGTATCTCACTTGCATTACAACGCCGCTTTAGAA